TTGTCTTCTAAATGTTATTCAGTTGCCGAGAGCTTTATCGAGGTTGGTCTTGATGGCATCAAGGAAGTCTGTTGTGTTGACATAGTGTTCATTTACCTTGCAGCTACAATGGAGAGGGTAGACAGTGATTAGTTGACATTATAAAGTGTGTATTTATGTGTAAATATTAGAAAAAAAAAAATCTACAATATGAATTATAAATGAAAATGTAATCTCACTTGGCCAAGCCATGGATGCAGCCTGCAAGATCCTTGGTCATTATACCATTTTCCACCGTTTCCACACAGACTTTTTCCAAAGTTTGGCAGAACCTGGAATTTGTAGTGCAATAGCAGTTAAAATGATATAAAACTGTATAAATATATAATATATGTCAAATGAGTAGATGACACTAATAAGATATGTACTTTATCAAATCAGGATTCTCATCCAGTTTGCCTCTGTGCTCCAGCCCTCTGGTCCAAGCAAATATGCTTGCAATGGGGTTGGTACTGGTTGGCTTTCCCTGTAGAGTAATGTTAGCATTGGTCATTAAAAAAACAAAACAAACAAAAAAAAAAACAAACTGCAGGTGTAAATACTTTTCATGTTAGGTCAATAGCATAAGAAGCTCGCAAGAATAACAGAAAATAGCGTGAAACTTTGCATTTTAGTTGCAGTAAAACTTAACATTTTTACCTTTTAAACTCTAAACCCTAAAAATCCCTGTAACCCATAACCTAACATATAGTCAAAGCTCTGAGTCTTTTCAGATTGATTCAGTGGCTCTTACTATCTGGTGTTCACGGTAGTGCCTGGTGACAGTGCCATGGGCGGCCTCAGCCTCGATGGTTTTACCGTCAGGACACACAAGCACTGATGTCATGAGACCCAGAGAACCAAAGCCTGGTACAAACAGAAACATGGAATTAGAAGGAAATCACATCAGCATAAAATCACGAAAACATGAACATCACGTACAAATAATGCAACATTGGGAGCTCTGCAAACATACTCATTATCCAACCATAGTCTACTTACCCTGAGCCAGAATGTCTGACTGCACATCTCCATCATAATTCTTGCAAGCCCAAACAAATCCTCCAGAGGACTTCAGGACCTGGGCCACCATGTCGTCAATGAGACGGTGCTCATACCAGATCTTCAGCTTGTCAAACTGCGGCTTGTAGTTTCTAAAGGAAAACAAAGAAAAATTCAGCGGCTTTGTAGATGTTAAACAACCAATAATAAAACATTTTGATGGCTCAGTGAGAATGTTTTCCTCTAGCATCAGAAACAGCACCAGGTCTAATACTCTACTGCTGTGTGTCTTACCCCAGCTGGTTACCCCAGCGACATGCACTGCACATTTCAGCTTATGGCCATGATGAATCTCATGAATGGCACAAGCTGAAACATGGGGGTTTCAATGAAATTAAGAACCTCCAAAGCAGGTGTAGCTTTCTCAAGTACCTCTGCTCTGCTCTCTTTTTAAAGTACATCTTACTTCTCAAAGATGTCCTGGAAGATGTCTTTAAAGCGGCCATCGTAGGCCTTGAGGATCGTGTTCTTGGTGCTCATGTATAGGGGCCACTTCTTCTGGATGGCATACTGGAAGCAGCTGTGAGCAAATCCACTGATGGACTGAGCAAAGAAAACATAGCACTTGCATGATAAATAGCATCATAGAACATTAAATTAAATTAAAAACAAGGAGAGTACCCCAAAGTATCTCATCTTTCTCATGTAACCAAACCTATAAAGAAAAGTTACTATTACCTCATCAGTGTTGTACATTCCCATCCCACAACCTCCTGCTGGGAAGTCATACACCTCCCACTCCTGCTTTGTGCTTCCATCAGCTGGGGTAAAAACAATCTTAAACTTGCCAGGCTGGTTAATGACAAAGTCCGTGGCCCTGTACTGTGAGACAGTCAGACACTGGTATGTGAGTCTGCTCTGCTTTAAGTTTGGACAGAAAGAGAAGATGCACATTTGTCTTGTTGTTTTTTGTTTACCTGATCTCCAAAAGCATGCCTGCCAATTGTTATGGGTTGTGTCCATCCAGGAACAAGACGGGGAATGTTTTTGCAAAGAATTGGCTCACGGAAAACTGTACCGCCTAAGATGTTCCTGATGGTTCCGTTGGGACTCTTCCACATCTTCTTTAGTTTAAACTCTGAGGAGAAAATATAATAAACACATATAATAAGCACAAGAAGGTATTAATTTGTGTAAATATAATAGAATTAAAATGCACTCAAATACCTCTAATGAATCTGTACAAAGTTAAAACAAGTCTGAGTCTAACTTACCCTCAACTCTGGCCTCATCAGGGGTGATGGTGGCACATTTGACAGCCACGTTGTATTTCATAGTCGCCAGAGCAGAATCTATGGTGACCTGGTCATTCGTCTGGTCTCTGTAGGGCAGACCCAGGTCGAAATACTTCAGCTCAACATCCACATTGGGCAGGATGAGCTGTGCAAGATGTCAATCTGTTAATTGCCTGAGGATAATTTGGCACAGAAACCACAAAAATGCATACATGCAGAGTTACGAGGAAACATTTTGATTCCTTGACACATCAAGTGTCAAGGAATGTGCTAGTGTTTGAGTTACCTTCTCTTTAATGAACTCCCATATGATGCGAGTCATCTCATCACCATCCATTTCCACGACCGGCTGGTCCACTTTGATACGTTTTGTTGCATCTAAAAAAAATTTTTAAGTTACATTACTGTTGTATTAAAGCCGTAAGAGTCTGAAAATGACAGGGGAAACGAAAGGTTAAGTTTGCACACTTGTGTAAATAAAAGGTAAAATTGTTTTTGATGTTAGGAGTTTATTCACAGCTTTGTATTATCCAAGTCTTCCAATTCGTGTCACTTTCGGGGAGCCAGCCATTGAGCTCTGAATATCTCTGAGCCGACTAGGCTTACTTTTATCATCTGAGACACCGGCATATCGTTTTTACATTACTGGCAGCTGGGTTTCACTGAGGCAGTGACCTTCGGATTATAAGAGTGCTCTGATATCATTTATTACCTGTCAAGCCCTTTTTGTACCTGACAACTAAAATAGCAAAGCAGGCTGGCACCAAACTTACTTATACACATTATTTCTCCTTTTTATTGTTTTTACGTTAGAATACAAACTCTTTATATTTTATTCAGCATGACCACACTGGCTTTTCTTTACGTTATTACCTTATTTATTTGTCATTTTGTAATAATGAAACACCTCTGAATCACTTTTTGTGTAATCTTACAATGTATGACTCACCCATGGATACTTGCCAAACAGTAACATCGACTCACCTGTTTCTATCATTTCCATGTTTCCAGTCACACGCTATAACTTATGACTCTGCCACACTGTTCATCTCATGTAACCACATTAATGTTATGAGCAGTTCATTCTGAGTCATTATGCTGTCGACGGTAAACTTACAGTTTCTCTGTTGCAGTCTGTGATGGCAGACGGCGGCCGGTGAGACCACTGCGGGGTTTTGCGACAGCGCAGCGGCGGTACTCCTCGACACCGTAGTCAGAGCTTTAAGGTATCCCGCCATGTATACTAGTGGTTACTTAGCGTCAGCGACTGGTCCACTGGGACTATAGCTTCTTCCTAATGAATGGACGTAAGGCCTGTAGAACCCGGTAAACTGATGACGCTGGACGTCGGCGCTAATAACTTCCACCCACGTCAGCTTGGAGAAAGACCGCTTCGCCCCGATTGGCCAGTGGAGCCGGGGTGTTGTGCCAAAAACTGATTTCCAATGTTTCCTGCACTGGTTCAAGTTCACTTCAGCTCTTCTTCCTATTTCCTCATTTGAAACACAGTAGTAGAATGCAGTATACACGCTCCATGTGTATGTAATGTGGGGTTTTTCCACATTAAAAGTCCCAACGTAACCCGCATAAACAGCTAATGTACAGTGTAAACATCTATGTCTTCTCATTTCTTTGAATGCGGAACTTCTTTAAAGAATAATAATGACAAAGAACTTAGAAAAAATAGAAGAAGAAAAAACAAAACATAGTAAATATAAAAAGATAAATAATATAAATTTGTTCCAGGTTAAAAATTCATCTGCTAGATTCTAAGAAGTGGTTTCTCTGTGTTTTAGATTTATTCACTATCAAACTACTGTTGATGTCTCTGTGAAGGTTCTCAGTCATCCAGGTCATCGTAGTCTAAAGAGCTTGGAAAGAAAAGCGTCTGCCTCGTGTGATTAGGTAGAGGGTCATTAGGGGGTCCATTGTCCCTCTTGGGGGGATACTCCCACAGGGCTTAAATCTGGGACTCTCCACCATGTGACCTTAGAACTGAAGAAGCTTCTCTGATGAGAGGTGAAACGTCTTCAAACAACTTAAAGAAGTCCAGACGCTGTTTTTTTCCAAGCTCCTTAGACTACTGT